GCCGGAGATTAGGCCGCCGCATCTTGCAATTAAATCCGAGCTTGGTTGCCACAGAAGAAGACACAAATATGCAAAGCTTGGAGTTAAGAAGCTCTCATGATGATAATTACCACTTGCTTGTGATGAAGATTCTTGGACCTTTTCTTAATGTCTACTTTTGGTTGGAAGAGAGCCGTGTCTTAACTGCTGTCTCATTTGGACCCATCAGGTAGAGAGAGATAGACATCTGATTGGCTTGTGGCAGCCAATCATGGGCATTACAAACGAGCAAGAGATTCTTGCTTAATTACCCAGGGTTCGTCATCAAGGAAAGGATGCCCTCAGACTACCCTCATCTCTCTAGCTTTCATTAATTACCACCAGCCCCAAGTCCTTGCTCAAACTCCTCATACCTAACAATGCATCTAGTCATCACTCTCTCTCTCTATCTCATAATCTTCCCTCAATCTTTAAGTATCTCTATATATATATACCTCTCCATTTAGTTTGTCAATTTTCTGTACATTTTATCTGTCTCCGTCTGTCTCTGTCTCCAACTGTACCTGTACCCCTTCATGTATCCTAATCCTCATTCCCTGAAGTAAAAAAGTACAAAACTACGACAGACTTCACAGTGCACAGGGGTATTGGGTCAATGTAGAGCAAAACCCTTGATTGATGAGAATGTAAAATTGATGTAAAGTGGTGTTTAACTGGTTTGTTGAGACGTGACTATGGGCTGATAACTAAGACTAACAAGCATACACATACACAACAATGCTCATTATTCTCAATTATACTGTCGCCATAAAACTTTTAATTTGGTGGCTAGGGCAAAGGTCCATTTTTATTTATGTTCCTTTCAGCCTTCCCCCGGAAAAAGAGCTAACAGCATGATGAAGGCAAGAACAGCGACAATGTCAGAGATTTTTTTCTTGATATTCTTTTGTTGTTTCACACGCAGATTGATCTCTCGAATTCAATGGCATCTGACTCAGGACCCCGCTTGCTTTATGTCAGCCATTTTAATTGCAAAGAAAAAAAATCCATTGAATTTGTATAACCCAAATTTGATTATCTGAGGGATAAGGAGCAAATGTTTATCCTTATTGAGTATTTCATAGGCAAACATCTCTTGGATTCTATTCAAGTATGGAATGTATTAATAGTGATCAAGACAGCAACTAGAAATACAAATATGTTCAGGAAATAGAACATTTATTCTATTGTCTCATTCCAAAACAAGTACTCATCTGCTCTTAACAGGTCTAAGACTGAGACCGACTCAAGCGCACCGAGCCAAGACAAGACTGACACCATCTGTGACATACTAGGCACCCATTCTGAGGGTAGAGGCATCCAAACATACCCCTCACTACACACATGCATCATCACGGATTGCCTGCCTGCCTCACAGCTCACCACCCAACCAACAGATGACTAGATGACATTACGTAAAAACATGGGCCACGCTTCCTCGCTTACTCTCCCTCCCTCCCTCTCTATGCCAAGCCAAGGTTCTTGATTTATGTGAAGGAAAGACGCCCCTCTGCATCTCACTGCACAGTATGAATACAAGACCTTTTTTCCTTCTATTTTGATGCCATCTAGATGAAAACATGGGCTTCCCTCGTCGCCATAGTAGCAAGGAGAAAATAGGACATGGCTATGACCCCCTCCTCAACCCCCGGAGGAATAGGGTCAGTGAACTAAAAAAAGGACTAGTCTTGAATCCAATCTCATCTCAATATCAGTCTGCTACACTGGCTGTCTCAAAAAATAAGATAACAACAACAATATACAAGAGACAGTAAAATTATGCTTTCAGATTTCCCAACTTAGACCTTGGCTTGTGCCATTTGGTTTAAAAACTATGCTGATTGTAAACCAAACAAGTTCCTCATTCTTTCTTATCTGTTATTGCTGACTGTGTAAACAAACACCAAAAAGAAAACCTACACATACATACCATTGAAATGCTAAGCATGAAATGTAATACATTAGATAAGACTGTCTCTACCTTGACATTATTAGCGGTTATTAGAAGTACGTCTGACTTTACATCTATGAGAAGAGAAGAATGTCATTAATTGCTTCATATAACCCTAGCTGTCTGCTATGCAACACAGCGGGACATGGGACAGAAACCTAAGAAAACATAGAGCCTCTTCAATTATGAATAATCAAAGAAAATATTCACAAAGGTCGGGTAAACATGGCTGTATTTTCTTTTGTCACGTATTAGATTGGAGATGTATAATCATGACAAAGGCAAGACTTGTTCTTCCATGAACAAATTATTCTTTTTGCCTCTCTCTCTCTCTTCAATATATTTCTGTTATCGCTTTTCTCTTTGATCGCCTCTACAAAAGCAATCAAGCTCAAATGTTTCATTTCTTGCATCGAATATCAATTTTGTTTTGACATTTATATTCATCTCTTACCCAAGTAATCTTACTTTTCTGTAATGTGAATTATGTTGGTAATACAACAGCAAACATGAAACATGAGAAACACAATCTTAAAGGTAAGGACCAGTATTGGAAATGCCCCAATTTCAAAAAATGAAATGGAAGTTCTTATTACCAATCATGTGAAAGAATATGTTTTTAATATTACATGATGATAAAAATTTTGACGGGAAATTGCCTACTAATTGATATATTTGGTAAATTAGTGTATCTCTCGCCTGTTGAGATATATGAAATGCATGTGTCGCGCATGTGTGTGTAGTCCCACATCTTTCTGTGTACAGTGCTTCTAACTTTATGAAGACTTGGCCAAATTTCTTATCATTTTGATGATTCCAGAACCTTGCAGTACATCTATGCTAGATGATCAACCTTTTCTGATCAATTTCACAACGTTTCTTTCACAATGCAATCGCATGACCATAACTGGTCTTTAGCTTTAAGTATGAATACTAATGCAAAACCTAGCCCTACTAGTACTAAGCAACCCTTTACTCAGCCAAAATGAAATTTAATTCCAGTACAGGTAATGATCTTCATACTGGTTTCTACCAACTAGGTTTTCAAAACCCTCTTAAACAAGAAACAATCAACTGTTGATTAATCAAGTCAAGTTGTCAACATATGTTTTCTGATTCTTCCTTCCTACCAAGTAAATATGTTCCACAGTCTGTTTATAATGTTAATCATGGCAAATTAGCTTATTAGTACAAGGCAACCAACAATACTACTCCTCATAATGTTTTCCCTCCTACAAGATTCTGAATAGATTAAATTCAAGCTCATTTCTGTTTCATAATAAAAGACAATCAGTGATTAGTTTATATAGACATCCCCAGTCTGAAGACAGCCGAAAAATAGCACTGAAATATCACAGAGAGCTCTACAAAAACATGAAATTGCACATTCTGTACGATAATACAAAGAGTTCCTGTTAAAAAATAACTTTTTGCACTTCGTTTCATCCGAATCTAGTTGTTATTTGAATGCCGGCATCCCAGCTGGGCGGGCTGGTATGGACTGACACTGATCCACAGAGAGAGGGCTCTCCTCTATTGTGCTTCTCAAAAGTCAAATATACTAATCCAAGTCTGTCTCTGTCTCTCTTTTGCTTTCCCAAACATCCAACCAGAAATCTCACTGATGGTTGAAAAACTAATGAAAACTAAAAGAATTTCTAGTTAAACAAGATGTTATCCAGTACCCTTCTATAATACAAATTGAATCTGAATTTTCATCCTCAATTAAATACAGACACAGATTTTGGTCTCAAAATATTTTGTAAAAAATTAGTACTTTGATAAATGCCATATCTTCCATTTCTTGTATTAAATGGGAAACATTGAACTTTTGTCAAACATGTACTGTTAAAAACAATATAAGAACAAAAGATAAAACTTAGGATTATTATGAAGATAATGACCGTATGAAAGAGTGCTCTTTACCATTAACAAGCTCTACTAATAATTAAAAACCATCATACTTGCATCAATTACAAAACTTCTTATTTGAGTTGGCCTCTGTTCTGTACAGGGTGACTTTGGAGGTGCAGTAATTTAAAACAAATGAACCAAATTCATGGATATGGAATGATGACATAAGACGGAACAAAAGATGCCCCTCTCATATCTACTTTCCGTGGATCGATAGGAAGAGATCGAAAGATGGCATACATCAAGAAAGGCATTCCTCAGGGTACAGCTGAGGAGAACTCCTCCAGAAATATGAGCTGAAATGAAGGACCGGTAAGAATGAAGATTGTAGAGGAGGGGGGGGGGGGGGGGGAGGGGGGGGGGTGAAGGACTAGATACATGTTAAATGCAGGAACATGGAGTTAGAAATTAGGCCAATGAGATGAATCACTAACAAACCACAATGGTGCGTGGGATGGATGTAAGACAAGGCAAGCATACCAAGCTGACTGGATAGACGGACAGACTCATCTACAGCTAGCTAGATCAGATGGGGGTAACAGGTTATGAGGTTTACATCATAAGGACCTACAGGTGGCTACCCCACATCAGTGTGTCAGTGTAATCTGTCTGTCTGTTTGACTGACTGGCATGGCTAGCTGTTCCTTTCTAGGTTTTAGACTGTTAGGCAAAACTTGTTTATCTCTTCATACCTGATCTATTTGTTTCATATTAAATAAGATTTAAATCTTCTTAAGATGTTGTACTTGTGAGGTGGCCACTGGACTCGCAATATAAAATCTGATGTCCTTCCAATCCTATTCTCACTCCCCCCCCCCCCCCCACCCCCCCCCCTCTCTCTCTCTCTCTCTCTCTCTCTCTCTCTTTCTCTTTCACTCTCTCTCTCTATCTCTTTTTAATACTCTCCACTTCTCACTCTCTCTAACAAAATTTAAAATACACATTTTTGAACACTCACTATGTTCAGACTTCACAACAAGCTCTGCAGTCAGCCATCACCCTTTCTGACAGCCATTCATTCAGCCCTTGCTCTCTCAGCTCAGCTCTTCCATCCCAGTTGTGATGAGGTTATAAATGAGAAATGTCTAACTGTTACCTACTATGATGAATTACTTACCATTACAAAGACAATCTTCATTTCCTATTCTAAATATCTCCTCTATGAATTTCCTTAATTCTTCTTCTGATTATTGAGGTGAAAGTGTCCACACCATGCAGGACTGGTCAGCCAGCATGGTCAGTAGTGCAGTGAATGGTCAGATACCAGACACACAGGATGGATGTGCTCATCCAGCACAATCAGGCTATGGGGGTGCCTGATTAATTGACCATCCAAACAGCCTCTCAAAACTCTCCTCTCAATTTTTAATCATCTTACGACCAAGAGAAATGGAACACTCCCAATGATAGAATAGTCTACTATGCAGACATCTCCAACTAACTTTTACAACTGTTGAACTTGATTTCAAAATTTGAAAATTTAATTCATTGTGTTTTAGTGAAATATTTCATATCAATGTGTAAGCATACCTATATACAAATATATGTAAACAAAGAATCTATCAAAATGTCCCTAACAAAAATTATGTGAAATTATTTCAGACAACTAGTCTATATAATCATTTAAAAAAATTATTTCCTAGGAAATTTTCCATCCAAATCAATGCTATTATCATTGACAATGGCACATGGACCATACTCTTTTGTGAAACTATACTGCAACCTTCTGATCTATCGACACTGTTTTCTGTAGTGCTTGAAGACAGTAACAGGGTATGAGAATGTAGACTAGTAGTGGGCAGTGTTTCCTAATGGCCCTGGCTGGCAGGGAGCTCTGGTCATTGTTTTGTGGGCGGCCACTGACCATTACAGGGTCCAATGCTTCTATAATCCTCTCACATTCATTCATAGTGAAGAGCTACCCAAAGGAATGTTTCCCAACATTTAATCACTACATCACATCACTCAGCATTAGTCTTGCTATTCTAGACCCTGTAAAGGATCAGCCTCATAGAAAAACTTATTTTGAATGACAAACATCTACTTTGATCTGATACTTCAGAACAATCATCATGAAATAAAATTTATCCTGTATCATGAATTTCTAATGAATCTTTGAAACACAAATTTTCTTCTGTATAAATTATCAAAAATATTTTGGGACACTAGATACTGATAGTTATGATCTCTTCTTTCTCTTTGAAGTTTGACATGAGCAAGTAATTAGTATGTTTGTATTGATCATTTTATATAGTTGAAGTTGATCATTTTAACACTGGAGTTCATAGGGCAATACTGGAAACTTCTTCAGATTTTTTTCTTTTCAGTTTTAAAAGAATTGATATAAAATTTTGCATCAATAGACAAGTACTGAACATTTGTGAGTGATGAAACTGCTTACCCTAATTCAAAATTCATCAAAAGACTAGGAATCAAGACTAATAATCAGCTGACCACCCCCTTACAACATGGCAGAGCTGTTTTCACAAAATGGGTGTAGGCTCATCTACAGGTGTTAAAACCATTTTAGATTAACTTGTACAAGTGGTAGAGATACTCCAGAGAGCGATGAATATTCTTGATTTATAATGATAAGAGAGTTGCAAATGTTTCTCTCATTTTTAAGACATAAAATGCAATAAAAACATGAAAACAAGGGAGCACATTCTAAGGCTACACTGTCCCTGGAGAGTAATTAACTAATTATTCCAGATTACTGCTACAGACTCATGTCTAGACAGAAAACTCATAATTATTCTGGGAAGAGATTTCTCCTGAATAAACAATTATTTACACTATGCCTGCCAGGGGTCTACCAGCCCCCAGGCATTTTGATTCAGTCATTAAGAATAAAATGACATTTCAAAACCTCTTTGGTTGAGAGTATTAACATTCATCCATACCCGCTATTGAATTACATGCCACATATCATAAACACAAACAACCTCCTCTACTATCTATTTTCATTTGATGAAACGTAGAAAATGCACTCTTTTGGTAAATTCATTAAATTTAGCATTACGTAGTGTATATTTCTTTGTATTTTGACGTACACAAACATAATTTGATTTCTATTTCTTTTATCAGAAGTGGTTTTAATGACAATCATTTTTAATAGTAGATCTCATAACACTTGTTTCATGTTTACAACTTTTAAACAAAACTGTTCGGTATGGGCACATCAAGCAACCTAGATTGATGACTGAGGGACCAACAAACTTCACTGGTTGTTGTTCAATAGCAGTTTTCAGGCCTTGAAATTGTTGCGAACTTTTGTGAATATCAACCACTTGAGAATTTAAGATACTTTCTGGTTTGATTGTGGCACAAACCTGTCTATTAAGGTCACCTGTTTCAAAAGGAAACCGTTAACTACAATCATTGTTCAAGAATGGCATCAAAGCCTAGGTACTTGCATCTCTCAAACAAAACATTAACATACTATCTACATGCTTTAGATCTAATAGGAAGAAGATATAAGTTTTAATTCTTGAGGCAAACACGCTTTCCTGGGAATGGATCTCATTTACAATTACAATCACTTTGCTTTCCTCTAGCTAGGGAAATCAGAAAGAAGTGTTGATGCAACAATTTCAACAGACAAGAAAGGAAATGATTCACCTTATTTGAAATCCATGCGTCACATCTGTGAAGTGATTTACCAAAGATTCAAAGCCAAATATGAAACGTATATTCATTGAGTTAATACCCTCTTCATATCAACAAATTACTCCCGCAGCTAATCTTAGTTTCCATTTCCCATGTTAACAATAACAGCTCAAGACAAATATGAAACGTATATTCATTGAGTCTGTAACCTATTCATACTCGGCAAGAAAGAACCGGATTTTAAATTATTTTTATGCCTCCAGGGACTGTTTAGATTTGATTGTTATAGCCACTTATTCAACATAATTACAGATATTGAGAAGTTCATAAAGCAAAAAAGGGACCAAATTATCATTTCAATCAGCTCACTATAAATGGCTTATTAAAATCATTAATATCAACTCATCTAGAAAAGTCAGTGATTTTGAATTTGATATTTGACATGGATGCGCCCTGCATTATGAACAAATACTTTTAAATATTACTGGTATTCTATCTATACAAGTGAATTGTCAAAATTAAGAATACATGAGAAAGACTCTGACATTGAGAATTGGTTCATCTACATTTCTTATTTGTTCATATAATATTATTAACATTTGCTATATTGTGGTACCAGGTATATCATTGTATTCTGTTTGTATATAACATCCCTACACTCATAATGTCATATACGCTACATATTTGGAAGAAAAAAAATAAACTAGCACTAAAACTATACTTAAAAAAACAGTAAATTTTGAAGGTCCTAATCCACAAACCTTGACTACAGTACAGAGTGAAACAAAACTGATGAGATTGAGAATGTGTAGAATGATGAATAAGAATTGTAAAAAGTAAATTACCCAAACATAAAACATAGACATACCAGTACCACTCTTAAAATGTTAAAAGCTTTCATAAATCACAAAAATGTGATCAAAATTCCATCACCCTAGTCCTATCCAATAAACCATGGGCTGATAAAAACTGATGCTGTTTCCAGACATAACACACAAGATGTAATTACTCTAGGACTTGGTGCAAATTTCTTGTCATTCCCCCCCCCCCCCCCCTTTCCCTTCTCTTTTTTTTTTTATAAAACCCTTTTGGCAAGTTTAGAGCCCAAATGAATACCATACCCTAACCTGTCAGAATATTCCACTTGTTTTCCTTCCCGTCTCTAAATGGTCCATGGAATTTCAATCAACGAAGCTCATACATCATCTCTAATGTACAAACAAGCAAAAGAGAGGCTCCCTCCATTTTATGGAGTTGTTCACATTTGGCTTAAATTGAAATATAGTCATAGAGGCTATTTATATATAATATCAAACTATGCTACATGGTAATAGTGGTCTTTTCCCATTTTGTTTCATACTGTGCACTGAATTGATAAAATTTCCATGACAATAATTTATGAATCTAAGGATATAGATGAAAATGACATGAATTGGACAAAATTAATAACTTTCTTCACATGGCAATGCCAATGCGACCATTATGAAAAGTTAAACAAAAACTACAGATGCAAGGATTTGGTATGATGAGATGTTTCAAACTACGATGGCTCAGTTCATGTACCAATGCTAAACCCGAACCGTGACTGACAGCATTCATGAGAAGCCTGGATATAGAGCTCCAAAAGAACATGCTTTTTTACACAAAGCTTTGCATATAATTAGGATGGTTTATTTTACAATTACTATGATTTGTATTAATAAGAAGACAGACAGACAGCCTGTCTAGTGAACTGATAGGATTAGAGCGGATAGGACAACATGTCTGGAAAGACAAGTTCTCACCCTTGATATCAGTCTCTTAAACCAAAAAAGATTTTCTTCTAATCCATGAGATTCTTCCAAACTTTCAATAGATTAGAAGCGAGATTTGTTAGACAGGTTTGAGGGTAGTATCCTGATCGATGCATTTCAAAACCAGACCACTTTCCTGATTGTAAGACCAGGCTTTAATTGAAGGGAAGACCAGGGCATCATTGAAGGAAGACCAAAGAAGAAAGACCAAAGAAATAAAGATGAAAGAAGGATGACCAATGAAGGAAGACCAACGAAGGAAGACCAACGAAGGAAGACCAACGAAACAAGACCAATGAAGGAAGACCAACGAAGGAAGACCAAAGAAGGAAGACCAACAAAGGAAGACCAATGAAGGAAGACCAGAGAAGGAAGACCAGAGAAGGAAGACCAAAGAAGGAAGACCAAAGAAGGAAGACCAACGAAGGAAGACCAAAGAAGGAAGACCAACGAAGGAAGACCAAAGAAGGAAGACCAATGAAGGAAGACCAAAGAAGGAAACCAGAGAAGGAAGACCAGAGAAGGAAGACCAGAGAAGGTAGACCTGAGAAGGAAGACCAGAGAAAGAAGACCAACGAAAGGAAGACCAACGAAGGAAGACCAGAGTATGTTAGAAGGAGGAACAGACCAGTAGGTGTAAGTGTGAATGTAGCCTTGCAAGGTTGTCGTGACCTCGGCTGACCTATATTATTAGAGTCAGGAAGAAATACCTGAAAATTAGGAAGCTGATGAACAAACAGCCAAGTCTGCAGTTTCTCTGATTTTAGATGGACACACCTAGTCTTCCTTTCCAGACACCACAGACTAATTATATACCAGGTACCACTGACTAATCTATACACCAGATATAGAATTATCTGTTTCCTTTCTTATTCCCCTACATAATAAGTATACACTTTTTTGTATTTGTTTGTCTACATGCAACCACCAATCATTGTTATCCTGGCTACTGCAAAGCACAGCTGTCATATTTTATGGCACTAAAAAAAAATGCA